CGAAATTCCATTTTTCCTTTTTCAATAAAATAAAAAAAGCATCAACGGAATCCTTCAGGAACTTCACATACTCTAAATTTCACATGGGAATTTCATCATACAAGAACTACTCATAAAGAAGCTATATGGTAAATAATGAACCAGTAGAATAATTTGATTCATAATCCACGCCAAATGTCCATTTCCTTTAAAATGTAAGCTCTGAAAATCAATTAAAAAGATCAACACTTTACCCCTGCTCTCAAAATAAGTAAAGGATATAAAACTCATGGTTAAAAAACAAAACATACAAATGGTTCTTAAATATATAGATGCTCATGGCTCTAATAATAGAGATGCAAATCAAGATTTCACTAAAATTTATTTTATAACTATTAGACTGACCATGATCAGAAAGTTGGAAAGCTAACTCTTGGCAAGATGTGGAAGTCAACATCCCTACATCACTGGGGATATCACCTGGTTCTAGTTCTTTGAATGACAATTTTCAATATCAAAGTACATGCATACATGTGTGTGCCCAACAGCTCCACCTCTAAGAACTTATTCTGATGATATAATTACTCACATACAAAGTGGTGTTTGAATGAAAATTATTATTTGTAACAGTAAGGATTACAACAAAGTGATAATTAATACAGGGTTGTTAAATATAAAAAGGAGGTATATTTAGCAATGCCATTCTTTACAACCATTATGAGGTGCCACCAGATGACCTACAAGACACATTGTTCAGTAGGAAAAATGAGACACAGAGTGCAATGTATATTGTGCTACCAGATGTATTGTTTTAAAAGAGTGAAAAAAGACCATGTATGCACATTTGTTTGCAAGTACATTTCAGTACATGGGGAAATGTTTACACGCAGATTTCCCCCAGTAAATGGCTCTCTTTATAAAGAACTGCCATGTATCTGTTTCTAGCTATGGAGACAGCTAAGAAAAAATCACAGAGAATCATAAATAAGCAAGAAGTCATAGAGTAGGTAAAAACCATGTTGGTAACCGGGGATTAGGCAGCACCACTGGTCTTGTAGCAGGCAAATGGCAGATGAGCTCTCACAAGTCACCCTGCTAACACATGGATCCAACAGCCAAGCAGAGTGAGCCCTGGCCACGTGGTTCCCGGTGATGAATTAGCTGAATGCCTTAAGGAGGAGAAAGCATTCAGACCCAATCCCTCACCTCCTAAGAAACCTCCAGATGGCTCCACTAATTATAAGATAATAAAAGTATCTAGCAATCTTAAACAATGCTCACAGACCAGATCCATATGTCACAATGACAGGACAATGGGTTATGTAACACAGACCACATAAGAATTTCAGTGTTAAAATTTTGGATAGAAGCAATACCAGGTTGCAATAAAACTGGAGACTTTGTGAAAGGCCCAGACTTACAAATTTTATTGAAATAATAAGTGACGATAAGATTAAAAAAAAGTGGCCCTTAAGAGATGAACCCTCAATCCCATGTCCAGTCAAGAAGCAAGTAGCTGGGAATCCAGATTTAGTATTAACAAGCATTAGTTTTCATTGTAGGAAGATTTTTACCCTAGATAGATATCAAAATAAATATCTAAAAACTTAAGAAGTTCCAACAAATTATTTTACTGAACTGATACTTTTAGGATAAATATAATTGGTAACATAGTGATGTTTTATTAATTGTTTTCTGCATATTTTATGTTTGCTTGATGAGTTTGGTAAAGTCAAAAATACATTACAAAATTTCTAATCACAGTTTAAACTATGAAAAACCTTATACTTATTTAAGTTTATAACATGTTGAAATGTTTTTAGAATTTTGTTTTGGTATCTTACTACTAGATATATAATAATATATTTTTAAATACTTTTAAAAATAGCAAATACAATGCATGTTTCTCTGGAAGCCCAGACATTCCTTCCTTCTTTATTGTTCCAGTTATCTACTGCTGTGTGTGAATCATCCTAAACCTCAGTACAGTAGCCGAAAGCACAGATTTTATGGTATCTTTCAATTTCATAGGGCAGAATCAGGCAGGGCTTGACTGGGTGGTTCCTCTGCTCCTCAGAGAGTTTTCAGCAAGCCCCAGGGCTTAGGACCACAACAGTTAAATTCCGATGCCTCCTTTCTTGCAGGCTGGTGTCAGTGGGCCTCTTCATCTCAGGACTGCCTGACATGCTCTCTGCTGCAAGACAGGCAGATTGGAAAGATCCGGGCTCCCACACCCACGTAGAAGCTACCTGTCCTTTTACAGGCAGGCCTAGGACTGGCAGAGTCACTTTGGCCATACTCAGTTCCTCAAAGCAGTCACAGCCCAGAACACATTTAAGGGAACAGAACCTAGATCTTGACTCTTTCTCAATCATTAAAGGTTCTTTTCCAGGAGACTTTAAACAGCTCGATGAGTTGGTGAGCCAGAGCTGCAGGTGGTTTACAGGCGGACTACACAGTCATTAGAAAGTGATGATAACAGTTAATTCTGCGAATTGAACTGCATGCTCACTAGGTGTTAGGCAGTGTTACAAATGCTTCATATTGTTTGTTTTTGAATCCTTGCAGCACTTCTGTAAAGGACAAATCATTATCATCCCCAAGGCAGAGGTTTGCAGGGTAAGTAATTTGACTATGATCATATGATCAAACATCTACCCACAGCAGCCAGGCTAGGATTCAAATCCAGGACCACAAAGGAGCCTGAAATGGGGGAAGAATAAGCTGCCAGCAGTCCAGATGAAGAAAAGCCTTTCAGTTCTGCAAACGGCCCAGGTGATGTCCTGTGGGTGAGGGGAGGGCTGTCATTTGGGCAGTGCCCACATTTGTAGGTGGGAGTGAGATGGAAGGGAAGGTTGGGAGCCCAGTGAGGAGACATGTGCTCTCTTCTAGGAGTGAGAAGTGAGGCCCAAGACTTTGGGCATGAGATAAGGGAAGGTGAGAAGGAACTGAGGAGCTGGCGGGGCAGGCACTGGTGACCTAGGAAGATAAGAGAAAGTAGCAGCAGGTGTCCCGGCAGCTACGGCAGCTACGCAGGGAGCCTGTGCAGACTCTGTGGGAGATGTGGTCACAGCTCCCCTCCTGCATCCCCCTCCCTGTAGGAGGGACAGCAAGGCCCTCCCCTGGCTCTCCTATATTTGTTGGGATTGGGGGAAATGTGGGCCACAGCAGTGAACCCCCACACCCGGGGGGTCTGGAGGGGGGGTTCCCCTAAGAGGTGTCTCTGGGGAGCCTAGGCCAACCCCAGACCCATCTTCTTGACTGGGAAGCACTGAATCACAGTCTGGGCCTGGAGCAAGCTGCAAGAGCCGGCATGGAAGAGGTGCACCCCGGCAGAGATGGCCTTTCTCCTGCCCTCCACCCCTGCACATCACACATACACGGACTCCAGCTATTGTGGACACTTAAATCCCAATACAAAGCAGTGTGACACAGTGGTTAAAAGTAAAGACTTTGAAATCAGATAGCGCAAGATCCAAATCATAGCTCTGGAATTACTGGTTGTGTGACTGGGTAAACCACTAACCTCCCTGAGCTTGGTCTGCCTGTCTGGCTGTGTAGAATTATTGTGAGGATGTAGTGTAACAAGGTGCATCACATGTTTGGCACACGGTCAAGGGCACAGTCACTTCTTAACTATTTAATTACCAAATAAATGACCTCACTCCTGCTGCTTTCATAGTCCACCCAGGCCTCTCCCACCTCACCCCCGCGTGAGAGCATCTCCTGAAACATTTACATCTCCTGGATCGACTCTGCATCTCTACATTGCTCCCAAGAGAGTTAAGTCAGTCTGGAACTGAGGTTTATGTCCCTCCCCTCTCCCTGGGGCCCAGGCTTATACTGGTCTGGTACCTGTAAGGGCATAATAAAGGCTGATTGGGCTAAATGGCCAATTTATGACTTCTCTTTGAATAGGCCTTAGATGATTACCTTTTATGAGGCTTACACTTTAGACTTAAGATGTAAAACAGAAGCTCGGGTTAAGAGGCAAATAATGGGATATTTTATGTGCTGTTCTGGAGCAAAAGTCCACAACTTTATTGCAGTGGCTGTAAAAAACCATGATTGGTGAAGCTTTGATTGATAAACTCACAGTGGAAAGAACCCTGGTTAAGAGACAGGAGACTTGGATTTCCTACCCTGCACAGAACTAGCCAACCAGATGCCTTCACTGTCTGACCTTGGGTGCAAGAACAGAGACCCGCAAAGGACCCCACTACCACCTCGTCTGAACTGTCATTTTTCCTGAGTTTGCAAGTGCTCCGGAGTATGCACCCTTCTCCAAGGTGCCACGATTCCAAAATCTTAAACTTGTGCCGTTCAGCGACTTTTACACTAGGCTTCCACGATGCTGAACGTGGGAAGGTGCAACTGCTCTAACTTCAGCTTTTGGAGTGAAGTCTGAGAATTGCCAGCATGGGCCTGGAGCTGAAAGACCTGGGCCCACATTTCCACCCTGCTTACTGTAGTTTAACATTGAAAAAATTGTTTAATAAGAACCTCAGTTTTGTCATCTACATAATAGACATAAAAACGGTGACTGGAGGACAACTTTGCAGAAAGAATTAAAAAAAAAAAAAAAAAAAAACCAGCTGCCACAACATTGTGACACCTGACACAAAGAAACTCTCCAGCACTAGGAGGTAGTGTTGCTGCTCTAATGTTCTATAAGCGCAGTGTCTCAAGCAACCAGAATTCTCTCATCAAGAAAAGAGCACTAGCCTGTGATTTGTGACTCCCACATATTGCCCTGGGTCTAACTTTTGCAGGACTAGGACTAGGCCACCTCTTTCTAGAGGCAAGGCTGCCAGCATGGCCACGGCCACCAGATGGCGACCTCATGTTGCCGGTCTCTCCCCTGCCGGGGGAGCTAAGATACTGGCCCCAGTCTTCCCTCCTGTTCACCTTTGAAAGTTATTTTCTGTGATAGCAACAGAGTGTGGAAGCAGGTGAGGGTGAGCAAGTTGCAATTACTGCCCTCTTTTTTTTTTTTTTTTTTTTTTTTATCAATCCAAAGATTCCACAATGCAAGAATAAATCGGGACCTAAGAAAGAAGTGGGTTTGGTTATGAAATGAGCACCATAGGGCCTTCACTGTGAAGGCAGCTCCTCAAGGAGGTCACTCAGTGCCGCACTGTGTGAGGCCTAGGGGCGGGAGGCGGTGCTGAGCTTACAGATAAATCAAGGATCCTGTTCCAGCCCAAACCTCTCTCGTCCCAGCACAGAGGCTGCAGAGATACAGCACCTGGGCAGGAAGGAGGCCTCTGAAACTCCAGTCCTCTGGCCCAAATCTTCTAGGGTCTGGACCTCCGTTTCCTCTTCAGCACAAGGGCCAGGCAAGACCCTAGGATGAGGGGCAGGCGGCCTAGATCCTGCCCTGGGCTAGGGAGGCCAGTGGGGCTCCCGCTTGACTGGGCGGCACTGCGGCCAATATTGACTTTGGTAAACACCATCTTGCACTGAGCGCAGGGCGAGGGCGGGGGCGCCTTGACCCTGGAAGGGAGGCAGCGGCTCCGCATTTAGACGAGGCCATTAGCTGCGATCGATGGCCGCGCGGCGCGCTCCGGCCGCTGGGCGCTCCCAAATGAAGGTTAAGTTTGCTCTGCGCCCCTGCGTGGCCAGCCATGCGCCCGCATAATGGCCCGGACCCAGCCGCCGCGCGCCCGGGTTGAGCGCAGGCCGAGGGGCTGCACTGGTGAGCGGGGGAGGAGGGTGGCTGGGCTTGCAGATGGCACGGGTGCGTCTGGGTCCCATCCTGCGTGTACCGGTCTCTCTTACTCTGGGTCACGCTCCTAGATCCTGGTGGCATTGGGTGGTGTGTGCTGTGCCTTGGCCTTGGTCCCCAGGCTTGGGTTTAAACGTGCGGTCTGCACATCGTGTGACTGTAGTGGCGGCCTGCCTGCCTGTGTGCCGGCCGGCCCAGGTGTGCACCCTCGCCCTGTGTGTGTGTCTGAGGTGGCCGTGGGTTCATCCCTTGAAACAGTGAGGCAGGGACTTGGCCTGGGTAAGGCGGGGTAGTGTTCACCCTGTGTCTCTGGAGTGATTGTGCAGCAGGGCTGTGGCATGAACAAGGATGTGACTGGCCTGTGCCCAGGTGCCACCAGGGCTGTCTAAATAGGGATGAGTAGTCCTTGCTGATAATTTCCCACCAGGCCTGTGGAGAGCTCGGCGGCCCAAGTGGCCTCATGTCAGCTGGCATAGCCTTCAGGCCACATCTCCTGGCTGTCATGTGGTCAGGTCCACTTGTAATGAGGTCAGCTGCCACAATGCATATTTAATCCATCCCTGGAGGTGCCCAGCATGATAATGATATCACATTAATTCTCATACTCATTCTTTTCTCCACTCCTTGAAGAAACTGAGCCTCAGGGAGGAGAAAGAGCTTGCCAGGATGGCAAAAGTCATCACATGAACACAATGGGATTCAAACTGTGTTTGCCTACTGCACCTTCCTGTGTAGCTGCTGGTAACTCGGGACAGGTGGCTTGAAATGCCAGTTCTCATCAAGTAAGGAGTGAGGAAAAAGCCCTCTGATGTACTCACCTGGGTGGAAAGGTAACATCTCCTGGTCTCTTTCAAGATCCCTTTATCCTCATGTTAAAAAAACCAGGGCCCAGAGAGGGAAAGGAAATTGTCTCAGCTCACACAGCAAGTTAGCAACACAGTAGGGATTAAACCTCTGATAGGATGGGTGCAGCTATGGTCAGGTCCTAGCTGCCTGTGATGAGTGCTACAGAAGGGATCCAGGCTCTAGGAGATGGTCCTCTGGAAAACGAGTGCCTTGTTTGCTCCTTAGACAAGATCATGGCCCTCCTATGACTCAGCACAATGGGACAGATGAATTCATGAGCTCTGAACTAAAAAGAGAGAAAGGGCGGGCTGGAAAGGTTTATATACCATCCCTATGTGGCTTTAAGGAATACATGGGGACATTTTGTCACATTGGACAGTCCAGGGTTGCTAATACTCATCACGAATGAGGTTCCAAGGGCCAGGGAAGCAGATGGCCTCATGCTGGGAGTGGCCTCCTTCCTTCTCCTCTTCCTGTCAGCTCCCAGAAGTCACTTCCTCCAGGCCGGATTAGATAAGCTGTCTGCTCTGGTAAATGAGTGACCTGCAGAAGAAGGACTGGAGCTGGGCCCCATAAGGTTGACTGTGTCAAGGCCATGCCACCTAGAGGGCCCAGCACTGCCTGCTCTGGCCATCCTCCTGCCTGCCGTGCTATCTCACCCTCATCCATGCTTTTCTGCCATGGAGCAGCAAGGACCTTGGGACTCAGAAACAGGCTGATTTTCCCAGGTGGCCACAGTGACCGTGGGTCTGGAACCCAAGATTCTTGACGCTGCCCAGGGCTCTTGTGCACCTGCCACCTGGCACAGTCAGCCCTGCTTACTGCCAGCAACTCCTAAGCAACAACCAGAATCGTCTGGCTGGCTCTCATGCCATCTCTGCCTTAACTGGTCATACAGCTCCAGAGGGACTGCTCCCCTTCCTGGACCTCAGTGCACCCAAATATAAAACAAAGGCAATAAGTGATGTCCCCAAAATAAAGAATAAAGACACATCCCTGGTTGTGTGCACTTCTCTAGGACAGCAAGGGCACTGCTGCCACTCACTTCTTATACAGGATGCCCTTTGGCAGTTCCCTGACCAGTCTCAGCCTTGGCATGCAGGAGGGCTACCCCCAACAAGCCATGCCTGATCTCGGGGGTCTGCTACAGAAGATATTTGCTGAGGGCTTCACAGGGCTGAGCACTGTGGTAGGTACTGCAGAAGCACAAAGACGCACTGGGCCTGCGCCCTGCCCTAAGGAGCTCCTAGGCCGATGGGCAGAAGAACATGGCCCAAGAAGAAAGTCAGCATCCCTACAAAGCCCCTGAGTGCTGGGCACCAGAGATGAGTGCTGTAATGAAAACACACACAATCCTGCTTTGTGCCAAATGCATCACTGATAATTTAATGCAAGTGTTACCAGGGGACAAAGCAGCTCAGGGAACAATGAAGATACCTAACAGGAAAGGGCCAAGGGAACCTTGCCTGAGGAGGGGCTGCTTAAGGTGAAATCTAACCAGTACCAGGGAATTAACTAGGCCAGTGCTGGCATGGCTGGAAAGTGACAATCCTAACTGTGGAATCTGTTGATTTGAAGGCTCTTGGGTAGGAGGCAGTCAGGACAGTCAGATAACCAGCAAGAGTCCAGTGTGACTTGTGTGACGATTCCATGGGTACCTGCAGAGAGGTGCATCTAGGCCGCACATGGCCCTGGGAACGTGTGAAGGAAGCAGCATCTAGTCTTAAGAGCAATAGCAAGCCATGAATAGCAGAGCAGAATGCAATGTGCTTTCAAGGGATCATGTTGGCAAAGCAGGGGATTGCACCATGGAAAGGAGTGGAAAGGGAGCTTCTGAGGAGGCTGCTGTATAGTGCAGGCATGAGGGGACAGCTGGGACAGGATGACAGGGGTGGACAGATAATATTGGCAAGCCTTGTGATAGCTCTACTGGGGAAGGGAAGAGTGGAAGTGTCAGGTTGGCGTCCTGGGGATGGGCTGCTGGGCTGCTGGGCTGTCTGGGGTCTGCTGGCACATCAAGTTCATTTAAGACATGGAATTGAAGAAGAAATCAGTAGGTAGTGAGGCATACAGTTCCCAGCTTAGAGAACAGTGACATTACGTCATTAGCAAAGACATGGCAGCTGAAGCCAAGGGCATAACAAGGTCGTATAGCAAAAGAAGACTCACAGAATAAAAGGAAAGGCCTAGAGGAGGGGGTAAGTCAGCAGAGAACCTGAGAGGACAGACGGAACAATGAAGCTGGACCGCCAAGATGAGGGTTAAGCCCCTGGGACTCTGCACAAACTCTTCTCCATGATGCCAGCTGGCCAGTGCCTGCTCCTGCACAGGGCAAGCATGGTCTGCTCAGAAGTCTCTCCACCCACTGTTACTCCCCACCTCGCCTCCCCACAGCTCTCCAGGCTCCTCAGAACCCTCCGCAGATGTCAGGGTCAGCAAGACCTGGGAGCTCGTAACCTGCCTTCTTGCCATGTGATATGGCAACCTGCCCTCGAAAGCCTTGCTGTCTTCAGCTGTCAAATGGAATAACAGCTACTGTACAGACCTATAGCTCTCATGAGGATCAAACGATATCATGCATCTAAACCTAATAATAGACACTCAAATAAACAAAGCCCACCATTATCTTGGCTCTTACCGTGTTGCTCCAACATGATCTGTTTTTGTTTCTTTTTCTCACTCAGCCCATAAACTCTTCCACTGATTGGGGTTTTAGCCACTTCAGTATTATCAGGGCCTGATACACAGTAGGCCTTTACTGGAATTCAGAGTTTCCTGAGGGCAAGAGTGTTTTAGCGACCTCCTGCAGGAGCAGAGCTGGACCTAGCCTCAGAGAAACCCAGGGTAACCCTCTCCAACCAAGCAGCACAAGGGGAGGGGACAGGAGAGAAGACCTCGGGAGAACAGCTTGAACACATTTTTCGCAGCTGAGGGGCTAGGAGATGACTTCTCTGCTGAACTTTGACCTCTAGGCCACATATCTTCTTTGAACTGTCAGGCAGCCCCCAGCCCTGTCACTCCCCATCTGAAGGGGCAAAAAGTGAAACTTCAGCCTTGCCCTGGAGCAGCCTCTAGTGAGCCCCAGCTGTGCCCCATGCCTGGGCTGATTTGTGTGGGACTGGATGCATCTCTCGGCTGAGGCACACCAGTCATCCACGGCCTCGGCCTTCAGTCCTGCCTCATCGCAGGCCTGGTCTCCTACCTCCCGACCTGCCATGGCTGCTCTCAAGCCTGAACAGAGGCCTCACACAGTGGACTGATCACCCTGCAGAGCTGGGCTGGGGTCCACAGCTCTCCCACAGACAGTGGCAGATTTGGGGAGGTTGAAGAAATTTCTTCACGGAAATTTCTGGGCCTCGGTTTATCTGAAAAATGGAGCATCCATCAGGTAAATCACTTGGGAGTTAAACATTCTTACCTAAATAAAGTACATAGCTTAACAAGCACTGGCTTCGTTCCCTTACCTCAGAGATGGCCCAGAGGAAAGGAGTATTGTACTCCTGTGTACAATTATATTTCTATGTGCCAGGATCCAGCTCAGTCCTCAGCCCCTCATCCATAGAAGCTCAAACACTGAAGCAACATAGATATTTTGCCCATTTCACTTATAACCAAACCAGGATTGAGGAAAATGAAGGAACCTATTCAAGAACAGGTAGCATGACTCAGAAGTGGCACGGCCAGGGTTCAAATGCAGATTATTGGATTCAGGGCCCTGGCCCCAGGGGTTAGGCAGCCCTTCTACCAGTAAGTGCAAAGCTCATAGGTGCTCTGAGCCGACCTCCCTACCTGAAGACCAGAGGGCTCCCTGACATCACACCAGATAAATCCAGAACATAGTCCTGACAGAAGTGACCTCAGCGTCTAGCCAAGGCCTGGCATCAGGACGTGCTTGGTAAGTAGATGCACAGGATCTGAATGAGGGATCTCCATTGTTTTCTAGATAACATCTATGAAGCTGATAGTGAGATATGTGAAAGTCCAAGATTTCTTTAATCTAAAACATTTTGCTCAGTTCTCTTTTATCTGTTGTCCACCCTTCTTTTCCTATACCAACATTTATTAGATGCCTACCATGGACCAGGCTCCGTGCCCTATACAACCAGAAGGACAGCAACATTTAACATTTATTCAGTACTTACTCTATGCGTGCGCCCTCACCTAAGCATGGCACATGGATTTTCTAACTTAATACTGGTAACAACCTGAGAAATGGAAACTGTTATCATTGTTCCCATTTTGTAGGTCAAGAATGCATCCAAGAATCCATCAAAATAACAAAGTGGTAGAGCCTAGATTTATGTGTCAGTACTCAAATTTCAGAGGCAAGAGGAAAACTTCTTTAGCATCAAGTAGCTCACTGGACGATGAAATAAGAAGTGTGGGTTAAATAAGACAGGAAACAAATGAAATGCATGCCATGGTACTCAGCACAGGAGGAGGCCTTTCTAAATAGTGCTATTTTAGCATTATTTCTACTGTTAAGCATTGCTATGAAAGCAATTATTCTGTTATCAGCACTTCCTTTCCTTTCTTTGGTATCTAATGAGCTTTTAAGGTAGGTGGCACATATAGAGGGCAGCTAAGGCCTTGAGTGTGGAGGAAACTGAGGCCAGAGAAGGTAAGGAGTCCCTCATTCAGCCACCAAAGGCCAGAAGCATGACTGTATTGGTGAATGCCGTACCTGCTGCGAGAAGGGACAAGGCCAAATACAGCATTTGCTAGAACCTGGGGTGTCCTCTCACCCTGATGGCTCCACACTGCCAAGAGGAGGCTACTGAATAGCAATGCTGAGCAGAAGTCTTCCCCAGGTGAAACTAGCACACTTCTGCTGGCCAGTCTGGAGACCCTCACATGATGTCACTGGCCCAAACAGCACCAGGGGACAGCAGGAAGTTCAGGTGGGCTCCAGGAAGAAGGGAGAAAGAGTCTGATACTGAGCCCTGCAGGCCCCCAGAGACTGAGCATCGCTCTGTGTCTATTCCCACAGGCTCAGGTAATCGGCCCTCTGCCACCCCAGCAGCACTGAAGCCTCAGCCTACATAGTCTTCTTAGGAGCAAACATTGTTCTGTGCATCACTTGATGACCTGTATGGTTTAAGACTTTCAGAAAGGCTAAGGAAACCTTCCTGATAAGCTCCTGGATGATGGGCAAGCCACATAGTATGCCACAATCAGCTTCATTTGCAGTCCCCCAAGGGAAGCTGCCAGGGTTGTGCTTGGCCTGTGCCTCAGTCCGGACAGGGAGATCAGGTGTGTTCATCTCCAGGGGGCTGCATTCCTGTGCTATCCAACACCAAGGCATTGTTACTTGTGTCCTCCCTCCTGTGTCCTCCTAGATTCTTAGTGTTTCCAGCTAGGAATTGTAAGACCTGGACTCAGCCAGGCAGGTAAAGGATCCTTATCCTGGTAGAGTTGGGGGCGGGATCTCAGAGCACCCCTCATGAGCATCCCATTGTGCCCGCAGGAGCTCTTTTCTGCACTGGCAGTCACAGGTTATTCCAATTGTCTTGCTGATGGATTAGTATTCGTGGCTTCAGAGCCTGGGAAGGGTGCGAAGGACAGGGAAGAAGAGAGAAAGATTAATAGTTACAGGGGTCAGTAGAACGGGAGAAGTGGCATCCAGTGTTTCATAGCACAGCCTGCTATGAAACTGCTGATAACTGCTGTTGGCAACCATTAACTCAATGTTTCAACATACCTAATAGGATTTTGACTGTTCCCAACACAAAGAAATGATGAGTCATGATAGATATGCCAGCTATCCTGATTTAATCATTACACATTGCATACATGTATTGAAGCCCCACACTGTACCTATACAGTTACTATGTGCCCGTTAATATATACATTAATTTTCAAAATAGCCCTACTATTAATGATGATAATGAAAAAATTATCTTATTATAATATCTTCTTGTGGATTACCTGATTAGCTAGCTAACTGCTATCTTAAACAAATAAAAAATAAACATTTCGGGGCTGAGGATTTAT